TTGGTCCATTTGTTATTTTGAACTATGATGGTTTTAGCACGTTTAGTATTCTCTTCAAATGTGTACTTGCAGACCTTTGTGTGAAGAGTCTCCATAATGATAACATACCCTGATTCTAGTATTTCTCCTTTTAAAACTTGCTTTTTGATTTCTTTTAAAATTTGGCTTCTAGTGAGTGGAATCCTATTCATTTAATTTAAAAATCCTTTATTTTGTTCAGGAACCAGATACGTTGCACTGTGAAGAAATACTGTCACTACACACTGATAAGTTGGATGACTCATGAGTGTCGGAAGTATTTTAAAGATAGTGAGTGTCAACGTCACTTACAGTGCATTGAGGAAATTCACTAAGAATTTCATTCACCAAGATTTTAGTTGAAGTCAACATATATTTTCAATTTGGAGGTTGTTGGGAAGGATCGAGAGCGGACAAGTGAGATTTACCTTCAGTGTCCATATAAGTTAGTGACACAATGTTTCTCAATTAAAATTTGGTTTATAAAAGTGGTACTGACAAATATAGTTTTAAAGTCCTTTTCAAGATCACAAGCAGCGTCAAAATTTTGTTCAGATTCAATATGTTCGAGTATTTTTACAACATCATCAATATTGCCATCAAAAATATTCTCACACTGATCAGGAATTTGAGCGTTTATTGTTTTGTTTAACTTGAAATGTGAATGTGCCCAATTGTGAACTATAAGTTGTAACTTTTTGGCAAGTTCATCAGATTTTTCCTTTTCAGTGAAGAAGAATTTGTTTGATAAAGACATATTTGTGTTTTCTTTATTCAAAAGTGGGTGAGAATTTTCAGCGACAATCAGTTTTTCCTTTAAAACCTTAATCTATGATTTAAGTATGAACTTTTCTGAGTTAGATTTTTCAAGATCAAAACGCAAATAATCAGACATGTCGAATTTTTCATTAGAGGAGTAATTGACAAATTTCTTAACCTGATACATGGAACAAGAGTCCCAGTCTTGCATCTTTGAGTCCCTGGCAGCTTGAGAAAGATCAGCGTCGAATGTGTTGGAACTGCTACTAGACTCCTCAGTGTGAAATTCATCGATGCTAGCCATTAGACACTTCCCTTTTGGCTCATCGTCTTCATAAGACTCTTCTTCATCTACCCATTCCCCAGTTTTCTCCTGTTTAGCAACAAGTGATTTAGGAAGAGGAATGTTTTCTTTCTTCATATGAGCCAGCCGCTTCTTGTACATCACTTTGTAGCTTTTGAGTTTTGAGATGCTTTCTTTACCTTGCATTCCCTGGCAAGGTGATCAGTGCTTCCACAGTTGAAGCACTTTCCATCATCCTCTCTGTCAGCGACATTCTTTCTCGCTGATGAGCTGCTTCCTCTAGACTGAAGCTTCTTACACCCACTCGACCTGCTTTCTTCATAGCATTTAACAATGAGTGTAGCGCTTGCAACTAACTCATCTGAGTAAACATCATCAGAAGTTTCATGCTGATCTGATGCTTCAGAGTCACTGACAGACATCTCCTTTATTGAGAACAAAGCCACAAAATTTTCCTTGTTGGGGTCCTTCATGATGTCTTTACAAAGAGCCTTGGTTTCTTCATAGTTACGCAGATAGCCAAATAGTGAGTTTAGATCCATGGTTTTGATCTTCTCTTTGTTCATGAGAACATCAACGTAATGTTCCTTGCTTTTGCCCAAGGAATCCAAGAACTTTAGCACCAACTGAGATGAGTGTTTAGTGGTGCCCAAACCTGCGCATATCATTAACTAAACAGTTAAACATGTTAAAGATTTGAGTTAGTGTCTCACCTTGTTGAGAAAATAAGTTATCATATCTCAGATTCAAGTTGTTGATTTATATTGCTTGAACTTCTACAGTGCCTTTGTAGGCAACTGTCAGTGTCTCTATAATTTCTTGTGCAGATTCACAGTTCTTAACCAGGTGATAAATGTGGTAAGGAAGGGAATTTCCAATGGCAACCCTTGCTTTCACATCTAGACTTATGAGTCTTTTATCTTCTTCATCATAGCTTGTCTTCGGTTTCTGCTTCAATCCAACAGTGGGTGCATTATCAACCATGGGTTGGTACATGGGAAAGTGTGGACCGTGATTGACGATGTGTAGCATGTCATAGTCCATGGTTTCAAGAACAACCAAAGCTTTTGTCTTCCACATGGCAAAATTATTTTCATCGAATAATGGAATTTTGTTTGTTGTTGAGGATTTAGGATGGTATTGGGATGAAGGAGATATGATATCTTGAATGTATCAGAAAACTTGTTGTGATACCACTTGAAGGTTCGTAGATTAGATACAAACAAGAAAGAACAAACAAAGTTATCACAAAGATGTTTTCACTAAGAAACGATTCTTACAAAGAGAATCAGCACAAAGCGGCGATTAGGGTTGCAATGAGAACAACCCGAGTACACAAATATATCGTAAAACTAGTAACTATCAATCCTGACATTAAGGGGATTGAATCTAATCTAAGTAAAAAGACTGATCCTAATCACTAAGATTAAGGATCGGTTAACAGACAACTACTATTACTATAATTACAAAATACAAAGTAAATAAACTAGCACAAGTGATCACATGTTGGCGTTGATGCTGGAGTAGATGGCCAGCGTACATTAATACTAGAGTCATCAAATTATAAGGTTCGACCTTACAAAAGGCAGCATGGAAAACAATTATCTATCAATGGTGGTTGAGAGAATTGAAAAGTAACAGGTAAGCATTATTATTATTATTATTATTATTATTATTATTATTATTATTTTGATTGATTATAATTTTCCTTTGATAAGCTTATCTGTTTGAAGATCTCCTCAAGGTGTTCGGTGGGATGAACATCAACTTTACTTATGTTATAGGGATAATTTGATCAAATGTCTTGTTGCTCTTTCTTTGGGCTAGACGGTTGGTTTGGCTCTAAATTTATAGAGGTGAGATCATCCCATTGCGTGATTAATCAACACAATGTTGAATGAATAATGCAAATTCTTTAAAGAGTGCCTCCTTAATAATGAATTTTTTTTGTAAAGAGTGTCATTTCAGATATACTTTATGTTATTGATTTAATTATATATTGAAATTTAATTTGCTTTCAAAATTCACGGTGTAGGAATGATGTCATAATAAGTTTTTGATTTTATGAATATTGAAGGCCTTAACATCTTTTATATCAAGAAGCATCTCCACGTAGTTACTTTCTTTTATCAAAAGATACAGAATATCATTTGTAGTATCGAGTAGTTAATTTTGTATTTTATCATGAAAATGATTTTTTTACTAAATTTAAGTTCTTGGTTTGCTTCATCAAATATATAGGGTCAAAAAGGCCGGAGATCCGGATGAAGGTATATATAATTTCAAATTTATATACTGTGAAAAATAACTTTGTATATAGGGTTTCTTAAAAAGATTATTGATCTAATTCGTTACTTGGAAGTTTATTCTTATTTTAATACCAACATAGCTAAATTGGTAATTTAAACAAAATAGTTGAATCGTCTTTTTTTAGTTCAAATGATTGTTCACTTATAAATGACAAAGTTGTTTTGGTTTTCAATTTTGAGGTCGTTAATTGCTCAAAAAAGACGTTTTAAGTGATTTTTGAAAGTTTTGTTTGGATTAAGCTTGTGCTGGTATGGTAGACTAATGAAAAAACCATGTGTGACTCCATATTAATTCCCGGAAAATGGATTGGCCCTGCATTACTCAATGTTAAGCCTTCTTAACTGGTTTCTTTTATAGATAATGTGCTTTAAATTTTGATTGATCTGATGGTTTTTGTTAATTTGTATGTTATTTTATTAGTTGGTTTGTTGTGATGGAGGTTGTAGGCTTGCCTTCAAGGATGGATCCTTCTTAAAAGTTGATTATGGTAACACTACATGGTTGGTTATTTGTGCTATATGGGTGGTCCATTATTTTAATCTAAAAACTCTCAATTTACCCTTTTGTCCTCTCCAACTCCAAATAATGGTTTGTGTTTTTTCTACCCAACTCCAATTTCTTTTTATGTACAATACATCTAAACTATCTTTTTATATATTCAATTCAATCTTCAACATTCCCTTTTCTTCGACCACAAAAATATGAACCAGTACTTCCATAGTACTTCCATCTGAAGCAAGTCCCATATGATAAATGAGGATTTCTCTCCATTGAATTTACGGGCTAAATTGGACGATGCCAAGATAACAGTTTATAATTTCAAGAGAGAAGTGTCCGATTTTATTTTCCTTTTAGGTTAGAGTAAAGTACATTGTCATTTCGAGCATGAGATTAATAATTTACAGATTAAATGAAAGTACACTATGTTATTATTAATCCTTTTTTTATTTATTAATATTTTTTAAGGTTGAGCCAAACATCTCTATTTCATTTGGATTGTTTGATAAACTCCAAAATTGTAACTTTTAATTATATTAGTAGTCGTGAATATGTGATAACAAATTGATGGACTTTGAATTGTGACTGGCCAATTTAAAACAATAAATTGAAGTTCGGTAATCTTTGTGAAATATGATATAATACAATACTAAAAAAAACGACCCGCGAAGCTCGTGATTTTTTACTAGTTATTATAAAAGATCAACCCACATTAAAAAAAAAACCCCCTTAATCTCATTTTCAAATTCGATGTTTAGCAATATATCTACTTTTCATTTTTTTTGGGATAATGACTTGATAGGGTAAGTTACTTTTTGAAATGTACACATTTAGTCCTTACTCTTTTTTTTTTGTAAATTAAACCCTTATACCCGATTTTTTGTAATTATGCAATCCTTTTGACCGGCTATAGCCGGTTTACCGGTCATATACGAGTTTTATTTTATTTTCTTGAAATGAAATAACCTGGTGGCATCCACATGTCACCTTACGTGGATATTGTTAAATTACACCACATTGAAACGACAATTAGGACTCATTTAATCAGCCATTCCTCCATTCACTCAGCCGATAATCCCTCAAATTTCTTGACTCGCAATCACCATCAACAATGGCAGAAGATGCAGATACAATCGTTGATGTACACTATAGTGGGGTGTTCACACCTACCCCATTGATGTATTTTAATGGAGTAAAAGTCTCTGTACCATACACGGTTGTGAACAAGATGAACTTCCCTGATTTCATCCCCTTTCTGGAAAAGCTTACTAACGAAAGATGCAGAGATGTGTATTACTGTCCACATGAAGTGAGGTTGTCAGAGGGATTACATGATATTCAGAATGACTGCGATTTTAACGAGTTTCTTGAAGATATCAATGAAAAGAAGAGATTGGATGTGTATGTGGATCATTATCATGAACCTTTGTTTGATTGGATTCAGGAGGAAGAAGCAGACCTTGAAGATGAATATTTGGTTTCTATTGATGATGTTGACTCCATTTTAGAAGATGGTCTGAAAGCTGAACATGTAGAGGACGATGAAGTTATATCTCTCAAAAGAAACTTCAATGCTCATTTCCTCAACAAACTTTATCCAATACAAAATGATGACTTGGTTCAAGAAGATCATAATGCAATACGACCTATCTACCCAAGACATGATCATACTCTGTGGTATGAAAAGAATGACAAGACTAGGTTGCTAGTTAGATGTTGTAAAGGAAAGAATCCGACATGCCCTTTTAGATTGTATGCTTCCTGGATGAAAGAGGAACACACTTTTCAGATTAAGTGTCTTATAACAGAGCACAAGTGCTCTAGGGCATTCAAACTTGGGTCAATTGTAACATATAAGTGGATAGGGAAACAATTTGTGAATGATGTTTTGGAGAGTCCTAAACTGAGTTTGAGGAAAATGAAAGCCCTAGTAAATTACTGTATTACCCCTACTAGTTTTTTACTTTTGATGTACTTGTCGAATATTTTGAACTAAATTACTGTATTACCTCTCATGGTGGGCTTATCTTTTGTAATTATTAAATGGCTTGATGCCTTTTGTCAGCCACTTTTATTTGTCTTTATATTCAATTGTCTATAAAAAATATTTCCTGTAATTTGTCTTGGTTTTACCTCCATTTGACTGAATTAATTACATCAACATCCATACATAATAGCAATAAACTTTACCATTACATAAACATAAAGTACATCAACATCCATTACATAACAAGAATTACACAACAAGTCTATTACATCAAAATCCCCTAAAACCTCCAGAAGCATATCTTCAACCCCAAAACATAACCTTAACAATGACCAGCAGAATCAGTACACAAATCATACTCTTCAACTGTTTCACTTCTTCTCTAACAGATGCCACATCCTCTAAAACTTGTATAAGATAATCTGCAACATCTGAAAGAGTATCTTCTGCAATGGGCTTCATATTCTCAGGTTCTTCATCAATCCATTCCCAAAATTTACACTTTTTCCCTGGTTTCTGTAGTAATAAAATCAACAACATAGAAGGTAAGAAGAAGAAAATTGATGCGATTTGACAAATAAAAACAATTTAGGTATTTACCAATGAGTTAGGGCACACTCGAAATTTCTTTCCAGGGTTATCTTTGGTCTTGGAGGTACGAATTCTTGAAGGGAGTTCACAATCACAGAGGACTTCCTTATCTACTTTGTGATTGCTTGAACCTGTGGAGATTTTTGAGCCACTCGACATCTTCCTTCTTCTTCTACGAATTCCCCACTTCTCTTGTTCGAGTTTGAAGGTGATTCCTCCTGATTTTGGATGTTAACATTCGTTTATAAGGAGTGACTAAGCAAATTAATTGTTATGCAGTTGTTTTTAGTGCCACGTGTGCTTCCACATCAACAAAACCTATAGAATCCGGTCAAAAGGACCTATTGTGTACATATTAATAAAGTATAAGGGTTTAATTTACAAAAAGAAAAGAGTAAGGACTAAATGTGTACATTTCAAAAAGTAACTTACCCTATCAAGTCATTATCCCTTTTTTTTTATGAAACTCGATTAATTTTCAACACGTAAAACACTAAATAGTTAAATTTGTTAATCATGGAGAAGAGCATACCAAAGGAATATTACTTAAAATTCCAAAGGATTTATGAAATTTTAGGACATAGAAAATGTAAATAGATATATTTTCGTAGCCTGTCTTGGTGTCTTTCAATAAAGTTGAGACAAAAACAAATTCCAACTTAACAACTCCTATAGATATACGAAAGTTAAGAACATCAGAAGTTTGCATTCTTTATGTAACTTGAAAATTTCCACTAGTCTTACAGTGTTTTTAGATTATGTTTTTGAATTTAAAATTCCTATAGATTCTATTCAGTCATCATCTTCTATCTATTTCTCTATATTTAAACTCAACATATAGAACCCCCAAAAAAATTTCATTTAGTAGCCTTTCAACTTTCATCTTTAGTTTGTATGACGCATGTTATAATTTCTTCTAGCAATTGGTAAAATGTTTTGCATGCTTGAAAGTGAGATTCATATTGTTGGTATTTCAGATAAATAAGTTAGGTTATGCGGTTCCTTGGAGAACCTCGATCAAAACAAATTATTTCTCCACTTAAGATGGTGTTTACAAGTTGAGATAGCAAATCTTGTATACATAGTTTCAAATCTACCTTTGGTGTGTCATAGTGGATCATCATTGGTGAATGAAGCAAAGGAACACCATGACACACACACACACACACACATACAGAACAGGTGTTTTGGACAGGATAATACCAAAAAAAAGGGCCTCTTTTGGCGTTTTGTATAACATTCCTTTATAGTTTATATAGACATGTATTGCAAGAAAAAACCAAGGAAAGAACGATATCAAATTACCAAACCTTCTTCTATATCAACATTTCCTACTATAAAAAGAAAAAAGAAAAACAGAAAGGCCCTGAAACGTGAAGGACACCATGGTCAGATATCATAATCTATGTCTGAAGCATTCTCAGATACAGACTTCTTGACAAGTGTTCCTTGTTCATCATAAAGATCAAGATTCTCACATGGTTTTGGAAAGATTGTCCCTATCACACGTCCAGAGAGACATAAGCACACTGAAAAATATGCTTCTTCTTGTATGTAGTCCCTACTGACATATCCCTGAAAGTTACATTCCTAATTGGAATATCTGCACTCCCATGTATCCTAACAGGAACACGCACTCCCCTCACCATGGATGGAGGAATAGCTGATTCCCCTGATCACCGGAAACGCCTTTGGGTCAAAACCCATGTCTGGGTGCTCATTGTAATCCGTTTTAATAATTATCCCAACCCTTACATTCTCAAATGTTAGATTCTTATAACTGATGTCTTCAATGTATGCCCCTCTCCCTGCAGCTGTCTTGATTCTAACAGCACGCCTTGAGTTCCACACAAGAACATTCTCCACTCTCACATTTGATATCCCACCTGACATCTCACTGCCTATTGATATTCCAGCACTATCAAAGTTCAACAATTTTTTTAATCTTTATTAGCATCATTGAAGTAATGATTATAACAAATTTGGAAAATTTAGACAAGAAAAGATCTCTCTCTCACCTGACCATTGATCGAACAACAAGGTTTCGAATGAGGATATTTTTTGAAGGGCGACCATACGCAACACCATATTGATCCCATCCACTTTTGATTGCAATGGCATCATCACCAACGCTTATGTAACAGTCCTCTATTAACATATCTTCACATGAATCTATAAAAAAGATGATATATTTATTGCAAATCTCATAACTCATAACTCCTATTCTTATTGGGTGAATTCACTTCACTTACCAGGATCTATACCATCTGTATTTGGAGCCTCGAAAAGGGGAGCCAAGATTGTCATATTTCTTATGGTAACGTTCTTACAATCATAAGGATGGAGTGTCCAAAAGGGTGAATCACGTAAAGTAATATTAGAGATCAGAATGTCACTTGAATACATGATCTGCACGAGGGGACCTCTTGTATGGTTAAGAAGCTTTTGGCGGTATTTTTTCCACCATGTTTGACCCTGTCCATCAATGGTGCCGTTATGCCCTGTGATCACAACGTCTTTTAGATTTTGACCATGGATCAAACTTCCATATCGGGCTCCAGGATGCTCTCTACCATAACCATAAGAAGGCAAAGGGGGCATGAGAGGCCAATACTTTTCGTCCTGTTAAAACAAAAAATTAAAATAAGTGAACCACAAGGACGCAGATTTGACTGATTGATGCCAGCATTCATATGAACATTAAGAAATCGCAGAGTATTGAATTGAAATAAGAGAAAAGAAAAGAAAAGGTTGTAGAACACTCACATCTAGACCAAGTATAACAGAGTCTTCAGCAAGAAAAAGCGTCATATGACTTGTTAAATTAAATGGTGCTGTCAACCATCTTCCGGCGGGGACATTAAGCTGACCACCACCTTTCTTCCCTAGCTTGGAAATTGTAAAAACAGCCTTCTCGAAAGCCAAGGTGTTAACTGTGACGCCATCTCCGACAGCTCCGAAATCGGTAAGATTAAAGACGACGGGTCGGAAACGAGGCAATGGACGAAAAGGGAGGGGTCGCCGGAAAATTGATATACCATCTACAAAATTGCGTTGCCAGATGAAAAGGGATGCGAAAACGACGATCCAGAGGAGTGCGAAAAGGGTCTTGTAGGACGAGAAGAGTGCGGGAAACCAACGGCGGTGGTTGAATCGCCAGATTGAGGGCGATGAACTTAGGGTTTCCACCATAATAGTGTAGTTACGATCTGAATAATGGGGTTACCGGCAAGAGATGATGATGGGTTATGGATGATGGAGTAGGAAGGTTGATGGAATACATGAATTGGGAATTGAAGAGGGTTTGTTGATTTGGAAGGTGGTTGTTACGTCAATTAGGTCAAGTTCAGTAGCAGTTGTTGGATTTGATTTTGGGGAAGAATGGAGTGCGTAGGAAGGGACGATGCTGCGTCAGACACAAATCAAACACCATTAATCTGTTCCGGTTATCTCTTTAAGCAACCAAATTACAAGCAAGTTTCTATCTGAATCTTAAATCTTGATGTAAAAATAATAATATTCAACAGTAACTTACAAGAATCCTCCGACTAAACAGTAAACCACCAATGTATTTATAGAATCGCTTCAGTAAATGTTTTAATAGATTTACTATTCGATTCACACACTAAAACTGATAGATTTGGATAACAACGCTTTAGTATTTTAGTGTCAATTCATTGAAGATATCTTAAATTCAACCACAAAATTGGAATTATTATAATAATGGAAATCTCCAGAAAAGTCCTGGGTCAATTTATCATCTAGTCCTAAACTAAATTTTATTAATGAAAAAGGACAGGAAACCGGCTGTTGTAATCACTTTAACCCTTTTTACCTTTTGCAGCAGGTTACCTGCTGAGATGACATGCCACATGGATTGTTTGGCTGAGGTGACATGTCTTTTCTTTATAATGTAAAAAAACTGATTTTTTATAGAAAAAAATGGGAGGGGATTCGAACCCATAACCTTCCCTTCCCAAACCATACACCTTACCATTTGAGCTATAAACATTTATTGTTATTACTTCTTCAAATGTATTTATAAAGTTTTTATAATTTACTCTTACACTAGTTATATTGTGAATCTGTACATATTATCCCAATTATCTCTGTTAGCTTACACTGTAAATAACAATGTAAAGAAATGTTCTAAAAAATGTGATCTGTACAAGCTGATTTCCATGGTCGCTAAGTTTAATTTCATGAGTGTTCTGAAAAAATTTAAGAAATCAATCCTTAGATTTCGTATTTGATTATGCTTACTGTTCTTTTGGTACAGATTAGGAAAATATCCTGAATCGAATTAGTAAGATGCACTGATACCATATGCTATCCTGAGAACTTGAAGAATCGTCTCTAGATTTAGATCTTATTTGGGATCGATTTGGGAGAACCCATCTTTTGGGGCTATAGGCTTCAAGAACACCCATTTTTTCTCCTCCTTTGCTTCATGTCTCGTAGGAATGGAGCTAGATCGAAGTGATAATGCTCATACAGTCAAACGAAGGTTACAAATAGTTCTAAGTCTCCCAATCGAAAAAGCTCTCTAACTTTTAGAGACATGGTTTTAAACAACGACCTCAGTGCCATTCGTGACCATTCTCCTCTTCTCTTAACAAGAAGCATCTTACATAGAAGCTCTTCAACTCCATGTTTATCCCCAACCGGTAGAGACATCCGCCAAAAAGACCAAAGTGTCCCAGTTGAAATCCTAGGGCATTCTCGTAATTTTTACCAAACAAAACCATTCGTTGACGAGGTTGTGAATGCGATAATCTTCGGGATTGAGCCTTGGTCAACCAGGGTTAAAACGGTCAGCTCGTGTTGGTGAAATCAGTTTCAAAGAAGTAGCAGCTTATCTTCTTGATTATGGCAGGAGATGAGAGAATCGAAGTTAGAAGAAAGATGTGGCGAATGTTATACGAGATTTCCCATTATAATAATATTTTAGATACAACAATAAAATTGTTGTAAATTTAATTCAAAACAAAGTCTCATGAATGTTATACGAGAAATTTACAAGAGTAGCATATTTTTTTAAAAAAATTTAGCCAAAAAAATAGCATTTGAACAAAAATAGCTACTGAAACCGCAGATGAGTGGCTAACACGCTCGTACTTTCGTCAACTCGTCAGCGGTTTCATTGTTTGACATGATAACTCGTCTGGGGTTTCGTCAAATGAGTTGTGGTTTTGTGGTCAGCATGCGGTTTAGCGGATCATTAGCCAAATATATTTAAACCTTAAAAAAAATCTAGCTCATTTTCACACTAAAGTTTACATGAATTATCTCTCTGATGAAGACGTTCCGCAAAACATTGTTTCAAGTAATTTTATATGTAGTTTTTTTTATCATATACGCTAAAATTTAAAAGTAATGTATATGAATTTGCCCGAAAATCGGAAAAAATAAGAACGGAATCGTACATGGCATTATCATTTGCAATGGTACAAGTCTTTAATACATAAAATTGCATCAACGACTTGTATATTTGCATAGAAGAAATTACAAATGACTTGAGAGGAAACCGCATATGACTATATGTCCTCATGTCTTCAAAAATGAACAAAGTGAATTTAATCGCAAGTGAGAGGATGATTTCGCAGTGGAATTAACAAAAACGCAGACGTGTTTGCCTCATCTGCGGTTTTATTGGATGTTTTTGAATATACTCTAACTTTTGGCTATTTTTTGCTAAGTCTCTAAAACATCAAACTATTTTTATAAATTTATCATACCATATTTCATACCTTAAATTTTGATGATCACATCTCCCTATTTTAATAAAAAAAATAAATGTATTCTTTTTTTGCTATGTATCACCCTATTATGTCTCCTAATTAATGTCATGTCATTTGTCAACATGTTGATTCTCAATTTCAAATTTTAAATTTTTCACTCTAATTACATTAAATTAATAATATTAGAATAAAAATTAAAACGGATTATAAAGTGATATAATTTTACGTATTTATTTAAATCAACGATTATAAACTTATATAAGTAAAGAAATATCTCATAATTAATAATTTATTTAAAATAATTGATTAATAATTTTGAGTTTTTACTATAAAAATTTAATTAATTTTGTAACCGTGGTTTCTACAGATTATAAACTAGTCATCATAATAAATGTTATGAAAAAAAAAACAATATATAGAAGGACTCTTGCCAAAAATTATTTATGATCGTTGGTAAAACAAAGTTTTAAAGATTTGGTGTATTTGAAACAAAATGTGCTCGCGAAGTGTCTACAACATCCCAAACAGATCCTTGCTAAATATTTGGTGTCGTGTCACATTTGAAAGTCTGAAGGGTGAGAGCAATTCAAGAGTGATATTCTCACAATACTTTTAATTTTTATGTAAAGATAGACTTTCATTTTGTGTTATTATTTAAATTTTAAACAGCCTAATTAAATTTAAATATATAACTATATAAAACCGGTTGTCTCTAATAGTAAAATAATTTTCTAAATAAGCTAGAAAGTAGTATTAACATATACCAACAAAACCCACCCATATATAACTTGTTGCCACAATAAATTGGACTCTGCATTCCGAACCTGACATAAACACATACATGTGTAACAATTAACATGTTGTCCCATACTTAAGTTTGACACTCCTTCTTGCCTCCCCTCCCCATAAAACTCCGAGACTAGCCTGGATCACACATGCTAACTAGTTTCGTCTTGCCATGAGCTCATCAAGGAAGCGACACTAGCCCTACCAGTTGTGTCTAACCTGTGACAATGCCCTTCATTAACAAGCTCTTCGGTGACTTGGCCAAATGACAACGACTAGACTAACTACGTCATTGGTCTAGACGGACCCCATGTGAACCCAAAGACAAGCTAATCTATTGGTATGGTTTTTGTCTTCTTGGTCAACACGTTCATGGGATAATCGGCATGTGAAAATGTGTTATTCATCCAAATTTAAGATCTAAAAACCAAACACACATATAAATTACACAACAAAGATACAACGATATGTACGCTCTACCCTTTTTTCTTCAGTAAGGTCGATACATCATACTACTACTGTAACACGCTAAATTTCAAAACAAAATTTTCATTTTTAAAAAGTTCACACAAAACATACTTAAAACATAACATCATAAATTGTTTGTCAAATATCCCAGAATCCACATAAACTCAAATCATCAAGTCGGTGTGTACAATCATACCGGCGCCTTCCCACGATCCTGAGATGTACTTGAAACACATTTTACACAAACACTGTAAGCACGAAGCTTAGTGAGTTCCCCAAAATACCACATACACAATAATTAGCCTCTTATGGCTATATCTCAATAAAGACCCTCCGGTCATGTGTCTCAGTGACGACCATTCGGTCTCACGTCTCGGTATGGACCCTCCGGTCACAGCTCAAACATATACACAAAATAATATAACAGCATAAGTCACAAAGACAAGATGCATAACAACACATAACTCAGTATAAGCAAATAAGACTCTCCGGCCAATAACATGAATAATACCCTCCGGTCATAACACGATCAAGACCCTCCGGTCACACATAAATTACCACTCAGGTAAGTAAAGTGAGAAGACTCACCTCGTGAAGTAAAAGTAAATCCCACACCCAAACTGCCGGTCTAGACTCCGCCTAACATATGTCACATATATCTCTAATTAAAATTTGATATCAACAATCCTCAAAATGTTGGCTAAGTCTCTCTACTTAACTCCAGAAGGGTAAAAGACCATTTTACCCCTCTATGGCCTCCAAAGTCCACAACTTGACCAAAACCCTAAAAGTCAAATGAAGTCAACACCCAGCGCGTACGCTGGGCGTACGTCCCTCTACGTTAGGCGTACAGTCAGCCATGCATGCATCGGGGTGGCTCAGCGCTACGCTGTGCGTAGCTGGGAGTACGCTGTAATTTCCTCTTTTCACTCTTTTAGTCTTAATCAGTTAAGACCATTGCTACTACTATAGATCTGGGCTAAATAAGGTCCATTAGTCCATAAAGTTGGTGACTTTAAGCCTTAGCATGGTTGGACAAGTCTAAAACTCATAAACTCTAATCCTTTACTCACAAAGGTCCTCATATCTCATGCACGGAGAGATCTTAACGACCAAGATCTCATTTTTATGAGTCCAAACGACTAGAAACACATAAATGGACATGTATTATGCTATGGAGTTCCTCAAACTCATAAA